AGAGAGAGAGAGGGGGGGGGGAGAAAGAAAAAACTCCTATGAGAATTGATGTTTTCGCAAAGAAGTTAATTACGGTGGCTGATTTGATCGTTGTGCGACGTGTGACCGCCGCGGTTGAATGAGCAATTTTTAATAATGCTGTTTTCGAGAAATATAAAAGAGGACAAACATAGTAGAAAGTATCTTGTTCATTTTTCTATGGTCTCCATGTTCCTTATGGCTAGTAGTACTCACCTAAAACTGAGCTAAAATGGAAGATTGTTGTTAGAGGATCAAAACGTTCCACACGCTGAGATAAAAATTGTTGGTTTCTCTCCAGAAGTTCTAGTTATTTTCAGTATCAATATCTTGGCGACAAGAAAATATTACTAATAGTATACATGTAAAATTATTAACACTAACATTATAGTAACATTCACTGCAAAAATATCCCCCCCTGATTATAATTATTTCACTACATGATTATAGTCTTTTCTCCAAGTCTTAATCAATTCTCTAAGTCGACGCTGTTCGGAGATGCACTCTTCGAAACTTTGGAAAAATGTACTGAATAGCTTATTTTTTGTTCGATTTCTTGGCGTTCAGGGCACTTCTACTTGTTGTAATGGTAGCAACGGATATCACAAACAAGTTTGAAATATCAACGTAAAGTACTTATCATTTGTTGTTACTGACCCGACTAAGTATCTGGGCGTGGAATACGCGAGAAAGCTCGACCATAATGTTAGAGTACTTGCTGAAAGGGTGAATAACATTGTCATTTTGTTAGAATCGTTCAGATGAGGAAACGTTTTAGACTTCTTTTATCGATTCTGATAGTCTCTTTTCAGCAACGGATATCAGATGTTCAATAGTCTATCACTCTTTCATCAATCAATATGTTATTTATTGCCCAAACTGGGCAAGGCTTTTTCGGGGTGAATTCCGGGGGATTCGACACTTGTCTTCCTCGTCCCGAAATCAGGACATGCAAAAATCAAAGCGTTAATCGCGTCGTCGTTCCCTACTCCTCGAGAAACTTCTCTCGCGAGCTCCTTCGACATCGCATCGCGCCGTGCGCGCAATACGAGACAAGTTCTTTGCATTCTTCGACGCTTCGCCGACTCTTCGAGAGAGAGAGAGAGAGAGAGAGAGAGAGAGAGGGAGAGAGAGAGAGAGAGGCGGGATCTACTCGCGCTAATTATCCAAGTCCTCCATTAAGCTCCGAACAGAACTTACTTCGGCGACGCATCGCGCGGGCTCCCAGGCCGCCTGTCCTTCCGGTGCAACAACCCGAAATGCCTCCCAGCAGCAGAACTCGTCCTCAAACGACGTCCGTCTCGAGCGCGTCGCTACGTTACGAGCGCCGTGTCCCGTCCTTCACCCTCCCGCCGCCGCCGCCGCCGCCGCCGCCGTCGCTCACCCTCTATATCCTCCGATATACCAATTCCACCCAGTGCTTCGCGATGGAACGTGAACTCGCCTCCTCCTCCTCCAACTCCTCATCCTTCTCTTCCTCCGTCTCCTACTTCACCTCCCCGTGCCCGGTCTGTCTCGCGCATAGCGATCCAACGGAGAGAGGACCGGCTAGCGGTGCCGCGGCGGAAGAAAGAGCGAGAGAAGCGCGAGGGAACCACGCGGAGGAGTGTTTGAGAGAAAGAGAACGAGAGAGAGAGAGAGAGAGAGAGAGAGAGAGAGAGAGAGAGA